TCGTGGGTGAGTGTTTTTATCCTTTTAAAATTCTTTAATTATAATCTGTAAATATTTTGTATGTATGCGTCCATTTACATAATATATATATGCAGTGATGGTTTCATATAATGTCATATAGACTCTTTAACCTTTATTCGTTGAAGTTAATTATGTATTTTGTAAAATTAAAAAATTAATTAATTACTACAATTTGTGACTCGTATAATAATTAATGTTTTCCAAAATTTTCTCTTTCTGTCCCATTAGTTTAATTAATTATTTAAACACTAAATAATATTTTTATAAATCGTTTGAACTTCGACAAAATATAATTAAATGATAAAAAACAAAATTTATTTTTACAAAATATTCTACATACAGTTAAGTACATACAAAATAGCAACACTTACGTCTATATATTACGTACAATTAGTATCTTTACTAATTGTAAATAATTTCTACTTAACAAATTAAAAAAAAAATACCTACGTAAATATATCACAGAATTTTCTTGACAGTATGTCTTATGTTATATTATTTGTTTTTGGGAATGTGAATTATTTATCAGTCAAAAGAAATGATGAAATTTGAAATAATAATGAATATCACCAGGGCCTCCAGATGTGAGGATCTAATTCAATTTTGTTAGTGTATTCTTTTGAATTGGGAACGAGGTCAGTCGAAGGTAACAGGAAAATAATATCCCGGTTATCCAGACGAGTAGGAAGAAGTCTCACTTGAGTCCTACTAGGATTTATAGTTTCAAGTCTGGCCAATTTGTTTTGTAATTGCTGCAAATATTTAACCGTCATTTCTAATATGTCAGCTTTTTCCAACTTGGCACTCTTCTGGCCTGTCTTTTTGCTCGGAGTGTCCTTTAAATTTGTTGTAGACGCAAGGAGAATTTGTTTTAAGGATTCTAGACTGTCGTTTATCCTAGCTCGGCGTTTCTTTTCCATCAAAGGCTTTCGAATCTATCATAAATATTAAATATCCTTAATTTAAAATTTTTAAACTTTATTTTGCGTTTTAAAAAATTATGAGGTCTATTAGAAATTTGTAAACAATTTCTTTATCATGCTAAAATAATTATTAAAACAAAATAT